AAGGAAGGAAGGAAGGAAGGAAGGAAGGAAGGAAGGAAGGAAGGAAGGAAGAGTTACTTATAGAACTAGTTCTAAAAGCTACTTATGTTCTCACAAAAAAAAAAAGTTTGTATCTAAGAAACAAGTTTTCAAGATGGGGTTAGAGAGATGGCTCAGTGATTATGAGCATGTGCTGCTCTGTCAGATGACCCAAATTTGTTTTCAAGCACCCATATCATGTAGCTCACATCCATCTGTAACTCCTGCTCCAGGAAGAGCCAAAGTCTCTGGCCTCTGAGGGCAACTGCACTTGTGTACACAGACAGCAAAGACAGACATACCCAAGTACACATTTTTTTAATAATAAAAATAAAGACTTTTAAAGAAAATATAAAGCTAGGAAGGCTCATGCATGTAGTCATCGCACTTGGGAGACGGAGACATGAGGACTACCACAAGTTCCAGGCTACCCTGGGCTACAATATGACACAATCTCTCAAAAGTTAATGAGTAAATCGAAAGGTAGGTATACGTATCTTAAACCTGAAAACAGAAATGTTGGGCTGGAGAGATGGTTCAGTGGTTAAGAGCACTGGCTGCTCTTCCAGAGGACCTGAGTTTAATTCCCAACACCCACACAGCAGCTCCCAACTGTCTGTAACTCCAGTTCCAGGGGAGCCAACGTTCTCACACAGACATTCATTCAGGCAGAACACCAATGTACACAAAATCAGAACAAATAAATTATTTTTAAAAAGACAATAAAATTGTCAAGCACTGACAATAATACACAAATCAACTATTACACAGCAAGGAAAGCAGGCATGAATAAACCACTGGGGTGGTAGAGAATACATTGAAAATCCCAGGGCACAACTTGGTTTATTCCTGGATCCTTCCATAGCACTCTCCTTCAACCACAACTCTTCTCCAAAGGAAGCAACACCTAGCCTTTCAGCAGTACTGTTGACACGAGCTGGAGCATTCTTGGTAGCTAGCCCCCTACAAACACGCACTGGATATTATATATTCCACATTCTAGGCAGTGGGCTGCAGTGGTCACTAAAACTGAGTGCTGCTTTGACAAAGCTTACACTCTGGCCTGGTAGGATAAACAGGTACGTGTCATGTCCAACAGTTACAGGCACCAAGGAAAAAACATGACAGAAAGGGGACCTTCACGTACACATGCCTTCAGTTTGTCTCCTTCCCTTCTCCAGCAGGAATTATTTAGTGGAAAAAGTTCAGCATTTAATAAGGACCTATGTTCTAGGCACTAAACAAGACCCTGCGAATAAAAGAGGTAAGAAGTTCACAGTCCAAATGGAGGGACAGAGGTACTTAGCTCACAAATATTTACACAACATTATGAGCGGGGCACTCACTATTTAGAGCTCTACAAAAACGAGACTGGGCATGGTGGCATAGGCCTTTGGTATCGGCGCTCAGAGGCAGAGGAAGGCAGATCTTTGAAGTTTGAGGCCAGCCTGGTCTACATAGTGAGTTCCAGGATAGCCAGTGCTACATAGACCCTCATCTCAGGGCCGGAGGGGGAGGCTGAAAACAGGAAATTTAAGCAGACAGGTAAAAATGTCATGCCCGAAGCCACACAGCAGGTTAGTGGAGTGTCAGGACTGAACACAGTCTGTGCTTCTAACCACTACAGTTTGGTCAAAAAAAAAAACAAAAAAACAAAACTTCCCAGACAATGCACAGAGTTTAACCAAAAACAGGAGGGAAACCAGGTGTGGGAGCCTAAAAGAATAAGGAAAAACTCAGAGAAAATGATACCTGGAAAAATGAGAACTGCTTTCTGTACCTCCACTTCGGTTATTACGTACCAATCCCAGTAGGAAGAGCTTCTGTCCTAGCAGGCACCCTCCTATGACAGGGAGTCTTTTACTTGGAGACAGTTTCTAGTAAACTCTACAAAAGGGACACTGTCCCCTCTGAAGATAGCTTACTGTCTCCTGGGTGATGCCCTTCCCCATCACTGGTGTTTCCCAGTAAAAGGACGGCTCTTCGGTATTGTAGCAGAGGGTAATAATAAGCTGCATTCCCTGCCAGCACCAGCACACCAGTGGGTGTTCGGCAAACTCCTGTGCAGCGACGGGAGTTCCCTGGACCACGAGCAAGCCTCATCACCTGGGCCCCTCCTCCAGGAACGCACAGACCCTGGACCTCGGGAAGCTGGCTACTGCTGGCCTTGGAAAGCCGTCCAGAGAGGGCGACGCTCCCGTCCCACCCTCCTCCGAGCACGCACTGGCCCCCAAGCACCCTCGGCTCACTACCTCCGGGTAAGAGCAGGGAAGCCGGGGAGGCGGCGGCCTGCGTGACGGGGATGAAGGGCACGTTGAAGCTGAACTCCGTGGCCGAGGAGGAGAAGAGTAAGTTAGTGCCCGACGAGGAGGCAGAGGCTCCGCCGCCGTTAGCCTTCCTATCCGCCATGGCTGCAGACCCCGTCCGTTACGTGGCTCTGCGAGCCCGGTGCCGCACACAGACCGGAAGCCGGGCGCCGAGGGTGCCACCGCACTTCCGCACTTGCGCACGGGAGGCACAGCCCGGACGGCCGCTCAGGTACCGGTTTTCTTTTCCTTCCGGAAGCTGACGCCGCCCAAAATCAATAAGGTGACATCGGCTTCAGGCCCAAACCTATCACGTGACACCCTCCGGCCTCGCGAGATTAGGCCGGTTTGGTGGAACCACGGAGTTAAGGGACCTGGCCGCTGCGGATTTTGAATCTAAATGCTAATTTACGCTCAAAGTCGCAGATTCCGGTTTGCGCTGGACTGAGTTTGTCGTGGGGGTATCTGTCCTTGGTCGGTTTACTTGCTTGCTTCCAAGGTAGGATCTCGCTATGTAGCCCCGACTGGTGCCTTCATCCTCTTGCTCAGCTCTCCCAATTCTGACATTAATACTACCACACGCAGCAATTCTCATATCTTTATGACAGGGAGCAGTAAGAATTGAGAATAAGGGAGCTGGGGAGATGGCTCAGAGGTTAGGAGCACTGGTTGCTCTTCAGAGGTCTTGAGTTCAATTCCCAGCAACCACATGGTAGCTCACAACCATCTATAATTAAGATCCGGTGCCCTCTTCTGGCATGCAGGTGTACATGCAGGCAGAACATTGTATACATAATAAATAAATCTTTAAAAAAATTTGAGAATAAGAATTACTATCTCCTTGACAGGTTCTCATGTCGTTTGGAATTCTCAGACATCTGCCTGCCTCTTCCTCCCAAGGGCTTCAAAAAGGTGTGTGCCACCACTCCAGGCTACTGTCTCTTTTAATGTAAACAATGGAAAGTGTTTTTAGTAAGGCAGTCCCAAATAGACAATTTACATTACTTTCTCTTTGGAGGGAAGGGTATCCTGGGACTCATGAAGCCCAGGAACCACATGCTCTAAGGGGAAAAGGGATCCCAATGGAAGGGCATCCTGAGACATGGGAGCCAGTAACTGCACAGCTCTGAGAGAAAGACTCCTCAACAGAGGCTTTGCAGCTCCCGGGGGAGGGTTTCTAAGCTTAGGAATCAGGAGCCGCAGACCTGCTCCACTTCTCTTAATTGCTTCCTGGCTTCTTCGAATGAGAGTCATACATACCAGGCAGCAAATCTCCTAAGAGATATTTACTGGGAGGGTCCAGGGTGTGAAGGAACAAATCCAGGGTTGGTTGTCCCTGCTTCTAGAAGAGGAACAGGAAACGGAACAATAACAAGGCTTTTATAGGATATCTTAGAAGGTGGAGTTTTACAGGACAGATACAGAATTTCAGGGCCTGAGCTTGAAGAGCTCAGGGATTGGTAGGGTTTCCATTCCAAGAATTGGTGGCTTTTTTTCACCACACCACCCCCTTTTCCTTGCATTGGACCCACGGGTTTGAATGGGAAAGACCTTGCTGGCAACAGGTCAAGGTATCTTGGTTGAGGTTGCTGTAGAGCCTGGGAGACAAGAGAGGAAATGCCGCCCCTGTGGACAGCTCCTGCAGTGGCATCCCACTATGGCCACAGGCCGAGACAGAAAAGGAGGTACAAACACCGTGGACAGCTCCTGTGGTGGCATCTCACAATGGCAGCAGGCCGAGGAGGCATGCCTGACAGGTGCTGCCATTTTGACAGCTCCTGTGGCAGCACACCATGGTGGTGGCACAAGCTGGCTGGGGCAGGAAGGAGGGGCCAAGGTGCACTGTGCAGGGACTGGCTACAAAAGAAGCAAAGAAAAGATAATTGCAAACATTCTAGAGCAACTGATGTAATCTCAGGTTGAGGGACCTGTCTGCCTATTACCAGGCTTTGGCTGAAATAAAATCAGTAAATTCTGGCAGTGTTTAACTTCCTTCGATAAGCATTTTAAGGAGGGCTGAAAGTGGAGGGTGTTGGTGGGATGCTTGTAGATGAGTCATAGATAACCCGGCCTCACGCTGCTCCAAGTTATGCTAGACTAGAACTTGGTCAAGAAAGTTTTCTTTATCATAAATAAGCAAGGCAGAGAACCACAGAACGGTGTATGAAACAAACCTAAGATCATTACTTTTGGGAGTTTACAATCTGGCAAAAGAATCAACTAACCATATGGCAACAAAAACTGCAGGCTTAAGTGTGTTTCCTGGAACACTGGCATCATCCGGGGGCAGAGACCTAAATATTCTGTGAGGAGAATGTATCTCTCTCTATCAGACCATTAGCAAAGAAATTACGCTTCCCTGAGAAAGAAAAACTAAACTGAAACCTGAAAAACAGTGCCTCAACCCTCTTTATGCACGCAGGGATCCAGTGTGTGGTGCACAACTGTAATCCCAGCTCTCGGGAGACAGATCAGGAGGATCTCTGTGAGTTTGAGGACAGCCAGAGCCACACAAAGAAGCCCTGTCTCGGAAAAAAAAAAAATCTTAAGTGCAAGGATCCCTTTCCTTATGACTGTCCTTATATGTGGTCACCTCAGAAAAGTCTGAATGCCAAAATCATCACTTTGTGTAATTAACTTCAGCATATGATTTTTTTTTTTTAGACTACAACAGAAAGTAAAAAAAAAAAAAAAACATAAGAACTGGAGAGATGGCTCTACAATTAAGTCTGCTATTCCAGAGGTCCTGAGTTCAATTCCCAGCAACAACATGGTGGCTCATAACCATCTATAATATGATCTGATGCCCTTTTCTGGTATACATATAGATACAGCACTCATAGATAAAAATTAATTAATTTTAAAAAGACTAAATAATTAAGAAGAGAAAAATGGAAAGACAAAAACCCAGAATGAAATATACCCTTCAAAATCATGCCCTGAGTGACCTTCCTCTAATCAGGTCTCCTTCATGGACTCCACTCTTCCCAATAACACCATCAATTAAGATTCCGTTAATGAAGCTGGGTATGGTAGCACATACCTTTGGTCCCAACACTTAGAAGGCAGAGGCAAACGGATCTCTGTGAGTTGGAAACCACCCTGGTCTACAAAAAGAGTTCAGGACAGCCAGGATACATAGAAAAACCCTGTCTCAAAAAACAAAAAAAAGGATCCATTGATGGGGACTGGAGATGTAGCTCAACCTGGGCTACATAGTGAGTTCCAAAGAAACCTGGGCTACAATAATAAATAAAATCTCAAAAGCCACCTATCTTAGCGAGTAGCTTTAATTTGGATATCAAAAGGCACAGAGCTAAAATATGAAATTCCCTCCATTCGATTCCAAGAACACAGCTACTCTACTGAAAGACTGGAGAATGAAGTAGTGATATCATCTGTTTTAGTTTTCTTTGTTGTGATAAAACACCACGAGCAAGACAACTTATAAGTATTTTAATTGGGTTTATGGTTTTAGGGAGTCAGAGTCCATGATGGCAGGGCAAAGGAACAGCTGAGATCTCATGTAAAATGAAAGGGATTAGTTAAAACACTATATCTGAGCAGACACTCATCTCTTGTAACCCAGTTTTGCTAGTCTGGCTGTCTCAGCCACATGCCCTCTCTTGCCCTCTCAGTCTCACCTTGGCCTTCTGCTTTAACTCTCTGTCCTCATGGCACCCTCTCCAGGACCATTTCTTCTCCCTCCTCCTTCCTCTCTCTACCTGATGCACCCCGGCCCCCGCAGGCTGTCTCCTCTGCCTAGTTACTGGCTAAATGAGCTTCTTTATTAACCAACCAGAGATGACTGGGAAGTAATGTTACACAATACTAAGACTGGAGAGTCTTCACAGAAATAGCAATGCCTGGCTGGAGAGATGGCTCAGAGGTTAAGAGTTCTGGCTGCTCTTCCAAAGTTCCTGAGTTCAATTCCCAGCAACCACATGGTGGCTCATAACCATCATAGTGAGATCTGGTGCCCTCTTCTGGTATGCAGGCACATGTGCAGGCAGAGTCCTGGATAAATAATAAATAAATCTTTTAAAAAAGAAAGAAAGACAATGCCCATGTCCTCCAGACTGTAACCAGATATCTGGGCACAGAAATCAGCATCTGAACACACAGTGCACAAGACCATCCTCAACAACCACACACCATGATCTGAAAGCAGGAGGCAGAGAGCACACTGGGAATCATGGGAGCTTTCTGAAGCTCCAGAGCCTGCCCCCATGGGACATTTCCTCCAACAAGACTACACCTTCTAATTCTGCCTAAACTAAGTGGTGACCGAGTATTCAAACATACGAGTCTTTAGGGACCATTCTCATCCAAACAACAACACTGTCCCAGCCCAGTTTTCTCAACTCCCAAGAGCTGGATGGAAAATCATGTTGAAATGTCAAGTCCAAATCACTTCCTTCATCCCAAAGCAAACCAGGAAGTAACTCCAAATCATGCCACTTGTGCGAAAATATTATCTTGAGTTGAAGACAACTGGACAGAACCATATATATATAAAAAACTCACTTTGTATGAAAATACAATATAAGCTTTCAAGGTGTCCTTCCTCTCCTTTCTACCCCAAAAAAAACAAAACAAAACAAAAAACACAGAAGCTAATCACCTGGAAGAGTTTTAGCTCCATATAGCCCAGAAGTGGAAAGATTTTACACACTACTAAACTGTATCCATCATAATCTCTCATAATTTGATTACCAGCAACTTGTTAACCTTTGAGAAATGAAATGTTTGTCATTTCTCTAAAAATTTATTCTTCTTCATGGATGACTGCTATATAACCCCAAATTCTATGTAAATTTGTGGCATACATATTTATAAAGTTCTTTTTAAACAAGGTCATATGTAGCTTGGTCTGGCCTCAAACTGGATGTGTAGCCAAGGCTGGCTATGAACTCCTTGACCTTCCTTGCCCATATCCCAAGTGCTGGGATTTAGAGACACAATGCCTGGCAGCTTTCCCTCATCAGTGTATGTGCTGTTAAGACCAGAGGACCAAAAAGGGCAAAGGGGCAGGTTTTGTTCTCTTTCCCACTGCCCTATGGAGGTCTCTGGGCTCATTGGTAGCTGCCTCTACTCATCTGTTGCCATCTCTCCCTCTTTTATCCCTTGCCATCGATTAAATCCAGGGCCTCGTGTATGCCAGGCCAATGCTCTAGGATGAGTAGTTTTTATTCTTCAGCTATCTACTTTCTACATTCCATTCAGATCACCATTACCCTTCTTTAGCCAAGTATGTATAAATGATGAAACCAGGGTTTTCTGAGCTACATCCCATACATGGAGAAAATTGTTTCTTTTTCCTTTCTTTTGTTTCATGTTTTTGTTTTTTGAGCTAGGGTAGGGCAGTCTAGAACTGGCTCTATAGAGCAGGTTAGCCTTAAACTCATAGAAATCCTCCTGCCTCTACCTCTGAAGTTCTGGGATTAGAGGCATGCACCACTGCTGTCCCTACCAACACCCAACAAAATATTTCATTCTTCATTTCTTTTTTCCTTTATTTCTCTCTCTCTCTCTCTTTAAACAGGGTTTCTCTGTAGTGTTGGCTGTCCTGGAGCTTGTTCTGCTGACCATGCTGGCCACAAACTCCAACAGAGGTCTGCCTGTGTCTGCCTCCTGAGTAGTGAGATTAAAAGCATGCTCCACCACCTTCTGGAGACAAATGGTTTTTTTATGAAAACTTGGACAGTTCCTAAATTCCCTAGGCTGAAGGTGTTGCATCCAGTTTGCAAGACCCCAAAAGACTGCCAGGAGTCGAGTCCATTGCAAAACACATAAGGATCTTTTTATTACAAGCTAGAGCTTGGGCTCACACACTCACTGACACAGTGGTTGAGAGTAGAGAGTCCTGAGCTCAGGGTAGGTGGCTGATTTAAAGGTCCCAGTCCTAAAGCAAGGGAATTCTGCCTGGCAAGTGTCTATTAGTAGAAACACAAAAGGAGATGCTGCAGTTTAAACTGATTGGCTATAGGAAGGCCCCAAAACTGTTAACAGGCTGGCTTCCCTTGTTTGGCTGTCCTAGGGGAGAAGGGTGATCTGGGCCAGTTTCCTAGTGGGCAGGAAGAGAATGCAATAAGGCCAGTTCCTCCCCTCAGGTGGCTGGACATGTCTCTACCTGTCTGGCCTTTGTTCAGGCTTATACTTTAAACTTTAAACCAATAATTAAAAAAAAACAAAAAAACACCTAATTTTTAATTCTTTGGTCTCTCATTCCCTCCTTCCACGATCATTTGAAGACCCAATCATGAGTCTTCCAGATATGATTCCTGTTGTCCTCCAGATTTACCTTTCCATAATGGGATCTGAGTACCATTATGGATCCCAAGCATTCCTTCATGTTATCCATCAGATCCATCAAACGATTCCATCAAGTGATTTAAAATACAAGGCCCAAAGGTAAAAATCAAAATGAGTAGGGGTCCCTTCAGAGTGAATATGAGGGTAGTAAGCCAAGGAGAACTATTACACCAGGATTTAAACCATCCTTTGGAATCCTCTTTTTCTGGTGTCTCTCCAGGCCTTTTGTTATTCTTGCTAAGGATTTTCTAATCATTCCTGACTGGTTTATATAAAAACAATGTTTCTCTCTACCAGCTGCACACAGCCTGCCTTGCTGTACAGACAACAGATCCAAGCCCCTTCTGTTTTGCTACTTCTGCTAGGGAATCAAAATTCTTTTCTAAATGGGTGATTGAGTTCTCAAGGCATTGAATATCTTTATCTTATCGATACCTGCCTTTAAGCTGTTATAATTCTGGCTTTCTATATCCAGTGCTGCAATACAAGTTCCTACTCCAGCTAAGCAGGTCCCAAGACAATAGCTAATGTCAAGAGCCACTTTGACTTAGCATTTCAGCCTGTTGGGTAGGATAAAGGCAGATGAATCTCTCTCTTCTGTAATTTCTTCAGGCTGACATTGGGACAGGGATATTGGGGACTCAGGGAAGCTGAAAGGGTAGTCAAAAGCTAGGCAACAGGGCACTATCTAATTAGCGATCCAGTTGATGAGACATGGAGCCATCACATTGACTGGACTGGTTTAATTCAACTTTCAACAAGTCCAGATTTCTGTTTGCAGTCCATAGCTGATCCCCAAATGAGTCTGTCAACTAGGTGAAAATCTGCTGAGACAAGTTCAGACTAGAGACAGAAGTTAAAATTTCTCTAGTAAATGGGGAAAGTGAGGAATTCCAAGACTGAGGGAAAGACTCAACTATGACAGATCCAGGTCTTATGAAGAAAAAGCAGGTAACAGGTGTCTAAAAGACAGCAGGAGTAGAGTCATGCCATTAAGACCTTTGGCTTTGGGGTCAAGGATATACATATTAGACAGATGTTTTTAGCATGATGAGAAGCACCTTTAAGTCTATCTCCAGAAGACAACCAAAAGGAAATTAAAATCTCAAGCTTGGATAATAAGCAGTCAGTGCTCCATCAGCTTTTTAGAACTCTATTGATCAATGTCGTAACTCTGAACTTCTGAAATCTTATAACAACATAAGCACAACAATAGCAGAGAGGGGGGAGAAATGTAAAATATCTCCCATTTTTAATGTGCCTTAAATTACTTTCTTATATCATTACAACTTACATTCACATACCTTAAAACACTTACTTAGACCCTCCAATCTTTCTTGCATTTACCAACTTTGAAACATTTTCCTAGACCCTCAACTTTTTTAGATCCTTATAACTTTCATATCCTCAGACCTTACATCAACTTTACATATTTCTATCCAGTTTTATTCACTATAAGACACAGGCAATTAACCTGAAGCCTGTGAGCAAGGCAAACCTCTTTGCCTTTCAATAAGAGATCTAGTACTTAGTAGTTCTAAAGTAACTAGTGAACTAACAGTGGATCTAATTGTCTGTTATTTAGCTGTCTTAAAGCTACCATTAGTTTAGCTTAGCTGTCAATGTGATCAGAGATCTGAGAAGGATAAATTGTAAGCTAAATAAATGTACCAATCCATGTACCAATCAAAATGACAGAGATGACTATTCAGTCCACCTCCTAGGCAGTTGTTCCTGGCTCCTGTGGTCTCATGGCATCATGAGTAGAGGCCGTCTGGCCATCAGGCACAAAAGATGGGAGACTGTGACTGTTTCTGTGGAAAAAAGAACATGAGAGACTGATATCACCTTGTCTTTAGCAATGTGAAACAATGACTCTCCAGGTTTCCACAGCTTTGTCCACAGGTTAGGCTGGGCCCTAGCAGTGGGCCAGTTGGGGCAGTCTTTCCCAGTGGTTAGCATACCACAATCCAGAGTTGCAGTCATCTGTCATTGTGCCCAAATCTTTTTGGAGACCTTGGGGAGCTATTGCCAGGATTTTGGGACTTTCTGTCATAACAAGCTTACACATGTTAAAATGCCATATTCCACAGATCTCTGATAAGCTTGAGGGCCAGCATATGAGTTTGTCTATCTTCAGCTATCTGCTCTAAACTGCATCTTGCAAAACAAAATGTTATAATCTCTAATTCTGGCATATTCCTTAGATAAGTGCTTTAGGACTATATCCATTTCAAGTAGATCTACATCGGCAAACTTTGTAGTCACCCATCCTAGGCTTAACCTTAAAAATGTAAACAAGAGACTAGGTAAAGCTCAATCTTGTAACCAACTGCAGTCATTAGCGTAACTTTAAATATATTTCTGAACTAAAATCAAATAAAAACTTTCAATCAGATACAGTTCATAGAGGGGCTAGCAAGTCTTACTGATCCTACCATAATGCATTTAGACTGAACAGCAAAAAGCTTAAAGGACAAAAGTTGTACTTGGCACCAAACAGGGAACTAAACACAGCTGACAGCCCTCAGCAAAGATGGCGGTAAAACCATGGCTCCACCCTCTTTATCCCTGACCCTGTTACAGGCTGTGGCTGGCAATTTAAAACATAGCCACGAGGTGTTACTGGCGGTGTTGCTGCCTCCCATGGTCTAGTGCTGTGGAGCACTTACAGTTTCCTGTAACCAAGTTTCAACATTATAATCAAATACGTTTTAGAACTAACTACATAACAGAACAGTATAGAACAATTTTAACTGTACTTGAACTATTCTGGCCATACCAAACCTACTGGGAAGAAAGAAAGAGCATTAATCCATTCACTCAGGAACTGGCAGCCAGGCACACACTTCATGTCAGCCTGTTAATCTGAATAGACCTTTACAAACCAGGGCTGAATCACTCATACAGCATGCTGCAAAAACACAAGCCTAAAATGGATATATATATATATATCCATAAAGACATTATTTATATATATATTATATATTTATATATTATTTATATATATATATATATGTCCATAAAGACATTATTATAAAATACCTGATGAACTTTAAAATGTTTCATAGCCTTAAACACATTTTTAGAAGAAATATGTTTTTGCAATATCAAATTAAAGTACCCTTTTTAGGAGTGAAGTCACAACCATAATTTTAAAAGTGAAAACCAAATTTTACCAGTGCAAACAATTCAATCTCTAAAATCAATACCAATTTAAAATGAAATTTGTCTTCTTAGTCTGAAAGGAGATTGGATGATGAAAAGAATTCATTATGACTAAGAGGTTCTGTAATTTTTTTCTGTCCTACCCCATGGCACGTGGCAATTTCAAGATGGCAGAGTCACATCACATCACAGGCCACATGGTTGCTATTTAAAAACATCTGTGCTTCTATAGATGTTACAAACACACATGCACACATATGTATGTTCTAAACAAGAGTTTGAATTTAACCTTTAAACATATCCAATAACTGTTAATCTATAACCAAGACATACAGAGTATATCAACCATTTAAGAGCAGTCAGAAATAAACATGTAATGGCCATACATACATTTAAACAGACAGACAAAACTTTTCTTATTTGATCCAGATCTAATTTCAAGCACTTTGTTATCTGTTAAATCTGCAAGAGAGTTTGGGACTTGCTGGCAGTGTTTCCTGAGGTGCCACACGATGCAGCCATCCCCTGGCATGCCTCCCCACCTCCGCCCTCTTGTGCTGACCCTGGAAGAGTAGTGGGCACCACCACGGTGTAAGTTGCCATTGCCATTTCCCCTCCCAGAGAGAGGCTTGCACAAGTGGAGCTCTTCTAAGCAGCGAGAGCTCCCTCCCTCTACCCTCCAGGTGGAAATGCACCCATCAGCCTGGGCGAGTTCGCTCTTCCTGCCCTGCTCTTGGCTGCTCTCTGCCTGTCCTGCCTGGAGCCATGCTCCCACTAGTGACCAGAAGTGCTCCAGCTTGTAACACTGAGAACATGGGGCAGGTGAAGTCACCACAGGGCACAGCTGTTTGGTCACCTGCCTACTGAGACCATCATAAGCAAACAAAAATATAAAAGAACAACACAAGAAAACAACGTACCGGTATAATGCACACAAAAGAACAGAAGAAGAAAAAAACAAAACTTGGAACAGTAGCCTGTCTCTCAATGAGCCCTCCATCCTGTTCTATTAGGGGTGGACTGCCCCAAAATCAGACTACCCAACTACGCCAGCCTGTTGGTCCGTCAGACCAGAGACCAGAGAGCAGTGACAGAAGGGCCAAGTCTGGAGTTCCACATACTGTAGCCATCCCTTGGTGCCTCCCCGACTCTGTCACCTGAGCCTGTGGAATATGGCTTGAGCATCCCTGAAATGGGAAAGAATTAAATCTAG